CTATAATACTCTCTTTAGCAACTCTGTTGTGAGAGTATAAAAACTTAAAAACAAACAAATACAACTGAATATATGTATGTCAAATAAAGATAAGTAGGTAATTAAACCCATTTTATTATAATATTATATTAAATTATCTTAATTTTTTTACTCAATGTATATCGACTTTTTATTTTTAACTTCAAAAAATATATACTTTTTCTAGAATTAAGTCCTTAATGCACAATACATCTTGGTAAGAATATAAACAAAGGATAATGTACTCAGTGAACATGCAGTCTTCTGCCTTTGCAATAAGATTTTTTAAATCAGATGCGTTGATAGGTTGTGAGTAACCGTTTGGGGTTAGGTTAAGGCGCTAATTATAAAAAACTCAAATGCTAGAAAGAGTCGACTAAATTCTACTTGTTTAAATTTTTATACAATTATTTACTTGTAATCAAAAAGTTTAATCTCAGACTATTTGGAACCGTTTTTTCCATTTTTTTCTATTTTTTATTAACAAATTAACCGCGATTTTTTTAGTTAAAATCGCACCTTTTACTTCCAAATGCTGTAAAAACTTGAAAAAAACTCCATCTGATTACCTCGAAAAATACATCACCTTTAAAAAGATTTAAATTGTTTTGTTTCAGAAAATCCGGTAACGAGTTATAATGATCCACTTTTTTTTTTCAAGGTGCTTCTGGAGATTCAGTCTCACAGGCTTATTTATTAATATTTTTCATTGAAAATTGTTTCTAATATATTTCAAAAGTTGAACAATAATATGTCATTAAATTAAATAAAAATTAATTTCGCTGCAAAAAAAACACAAATATATGTTTTTTTTGGCCTTTAAAACCTTAACCCAACACCACCATATGAAAGTCATAACTAATATGTTGACATGCCAAAAACGGACAACATCGACTCAATGTTTTCAATTACAATTTTTTATAATATAAAATATCAAAACTAAAAACAAACTATTAAAAATAGTTTATATATTTATAAATAATAGCATTCGACTCTGATTTTGAGTTATTTTAAGAAAATTTCAAACATATTGAAGACAACTTTTATAATTACTACAGTATATCGAGATTGGTAACCCTCCGGTGTGAGAGAGCAATCAGCTGACACGTTTTACGGAAAAAATCCAAACGCTGTGAATTCTCAAGTCATCCTACGTCAAAGAGAAAGGGTAGCGGTTTTCACTGTGGACTTACATTGCGCGCCCATAAGATGGGTCGTATCAGCTGACACGGGCCACGATTCTTTGTTCTCCACTGTTTCTGCTATAAGGGACATTTTGCAACCCATTTTTTTATAGGCAGTAAATTTCATTCAGCATTTCCTCAAATGTTCCATCTTAATATAAGAACCCTCTTCCATTTAAAATAACTTCATTAAACCCAATTTAATATGCAAAAGGTGGTAGTAATACCTTTCTAGGATCAACTAGAGGTCCACTGGTAATCTTTTTTTTTGTCCCGGAATGAGTGCCTGACGTACTGGCCACTACTCGGAGTAGTCATGTGAATTCGCTGAATAGCCAGAAGTTGCACGAAGGTAAATCAGGCGAATGAGGTGATTGGGACGATATTAGTTGAAAATGTGGCGAAATGGTCACCAATCACCAATGCAGTATGAGATGGTGCATTATGGCACTTCTTCGTTCAATAAATTCAGACATAATAAAAATCTAAGAATTCACTTATAGAGTCTCGCAAAACGCGAATCTCAAATACGAATGCATATTTTGACGCGAAATATAGCATAGATATCACTAAAAATACTACCAACTTACAGAAAAAAAATTACCTTTTCGAAAAATACGCGATATATAAGTTTATTCAAATTAATTCACCTTTCAATTTGATCACAGTAGTATTGAAAAATCCAAAACCGCAGGTTCTAGAATATCTGTGGGTGAAAGAAAAATTCTGTTTTCAGATTTGACTTCAGGGTATCAAACTGCATTAGAAACACCAAAAGTATTTTCATGTCACAAATTATGTGTCTACCAGTATCGAACGGCTCACAGAGGTCCTTTTCGATTTTGACGGACATTCATTCTCCATAATCTACATATCTGTTCGTTCTATGGCGGATTTGCCAGGTCTAAAGCTAAACTGATAAGGTCCAATCAGTTTATTTACAATTGGCTTAAGAATTTCACAAAAAACTGTCGAGAAAGTGCAATAATTTGTAGTTGTGCCCAACATCAATCTCCATAATCTACATATCTGTTTCGTCTATGGCGGATTTGCCAGGTCTAAAGCCACACTGATAAGATCCAATCAGATTATTTACAATTGGCTTAAGTATTTAACAAACAGGTATATCAGGAGGTGTATCTTGAACTTTACTTTTGGCCTCTAATCCCAAAACTTCTTGGACGGCTTTGTTCCCACACAGTTTCACAAGAGTTTCTCAGATTGTATGAGATTTGTAACATTGTGGTACTATTTTAGAAAACTCAAAAAGCGCTAGTAATATTTTTTCCGATGGAGCAAATCTTGTGCCACCCGATTTAAATTTTTTTAGGTTTTCTAATTTTCCTTCAAAGAATTCTTGCGAATGGTCAGTCAAGTTTGGATGTACTTTTTCTAAGTGACGTTTCAATTTCGCTGTTAAATAACTGTTGTCGTATTTTTTCTTATATTATATACAATATTATATTAAAAATATATATTTTAGAAAAATTATCCAAAATATTTTTAGTTCACAAGCAATATACAAGTACTACTTTGCTCTAGTTACGATTCCGCAAAGAGGCATAATGTGAATTTATTTCTCCACTCCATATATTATATTATTATTTTCGGTAGTTGGCGCTGAGAGCGCGTAGTTCTAGTTTTATTCGTCGCATCGGGTCATGCTATACCTTTTTGGAAAGCTCATTTCACGCGCTAACACGTATTTGGTTGATTGTCGTTTCTTTTAAGTCGTTCGTGAGTTAGCGTCGCAAACATGGAGCAAAATAAAGAGAAAATACGGCATATTTTACAGTTCTACTACGATAAAGACAAAAATGCATCTCAAGCCGCCAATAAAATTTGTGCAGTTTATGGACCCGATACAGTTTCCATTTCCACCGCAAAACGATGGTTTCAACGTTTTCGTTGTGGGGTAAAGCTGGTCGCAGATGCTCCACGCTCCGGAAGACCTGTCGTCGAAAATTGCGATAAAATCGCTGAATTGGTCGAAAGAGACCGGCATAGTAGCAGCCGCAGAATCAGTCAAGAGCTGGGCATGAATCATCAAAAAAGATTTTATGAACAATTGAAAATTCAATAAAAATACCGCAAGACTTTTTCGACAACCTAATATAATAATTAAATATATACCTATATATTTCTGAAAAATTTTCAAAAGGCTTTTAGTTCACAAATAATACATTATTTTGAGCTCGCTGCGATCCCGCAAAAAGACATTATATTAAATGTTCAATTCATATCGGCGCGAAAACATTAAATTTTAGTGTCTATGGAAAGGACTTGTCAAAAAATGTTAACTTACCTATATTATTAGAAATATAGTTAAGAACAAAATTATTGAGTTCGTCGTTAAACGTAAGTAATATTAAACACAATACTGACAAATATAACAAGTGACAGCGCAAAGAGCGAGTGATTCCTGAGCCCGTCAAGACGTCGCTCGTTGTATCGTTCTATTGAAAATAGGCTACCTCTTTAATTATTGGGTCGTTCACTAAGTAATTTCGTTTAATGACAACAGCTGATCTTATAGAATTTTTTTTGCAGCTAGCTTCACCCTTATCCGCTTTACAATTCTATATTTGAACAGCTAATATCGTAAGATTTATCTACAAACAAATTTATTCAATTTTTTTAATTAGTTTTTGGTAGGACCTATCAAAGGTGGAAGTTCAAAAAGAGCATTTTCAGTATATTTTACTGTTTTACGACCAAAAGGGT